ATCCAGATCCTTCGCTCACAAGGACTACGACCATCTCCGCGACCTTCATCAAACAAACCATCTCGGAAGCCAGATGCTTCTGTCGACCCTCATCATCGAAGCGTCTGATAATGTCAGATTCAACATCGAACATAGTCAGAGGGAAACCCTCGAAGAAATCCTTTTCTACAAAACAAGGTGGAAGGTTGAAAGCCCGCACAGTAACCCCCTCCTCAACTGCACTTACATGTCCACCTTCTGACCTTCTCTTCTTACTCGGAACGGTCGCGGGCTGTATGCTATCGCGAGCACCTGATGACCCACTCGAGCCATCCCTAACCGGCTCTGAGCCCGGGCCAAGGCATGTGGACTGGTGTGGTTTCACCAACCTCTTATGAATTTTCTTTTCTTGAGCGAGCTTCAGCAGTCGTTCGCGATGCTTCGCCATGTTACCTACAAACACAAAAATGATATCCCCGAGTTAGTTTCGTTAGAAGGACTTAAACAAATAAACTCAAGAAGTAAAAATGCAATAAATCACGCGAGCAGAAACCTAGGAGGTTCATGGCCTGCCCGTATGTCTGACATTCCACGAGCGCCTTGGTATTGATCGGGCGCACCTCGAACGTTGGTTCTCCATCTTCGTCGAGAATGTCATGTCCTTCCCTCATAACCCACCTCGAGGGAAAGAACTGTCGATGAACTGAGTGAGGATATCATATGACTCTTCATCCTCAACACTCATACTGCCAGGAGGGGTGTGGTAATGGCCGGTACTGTGCTCATAGTGACCCGAGCACCAGTGAATAGGGAACTTCGAAAGTCGCCCAATCTCTGGATTACCCTCTTCATCGAGACATACTTCCCCGTCTTCATTCACTACTTGAACTGGGTCGAACATGACATCCACGGTCACCTGGGACGATGGTTGCACAACGTACCACCTATCCTTGAAGTCGCGGACAGAATCCATGTACATCCTAAACAGTCTCTTCGACTGCTTCAAGGAAACCCAACTATGTTTCCCACCCCTAGATTGACGTTGGAGGTGGAAAACCCTGAAAAACAGAGGAATGGTCACCCTGATCCTCAGGAACTGACATGTGATTTCGAAATCCTGGAGGAAGGAGACCACATTAGGATGTAGTTGAGAGAGTGCCAAGTTCAAGTGGTTGAGCACGCCCATCTAAAAATCATTGAAGGGAAAATGAAGCCCCAAGTCTTTGAAAACGACCTCATACATCGGGAAATGATCCTCCTCGAACTCCGAGCATATCCTTGTCGTGGGAGTTGGTCGCATGACCGTGAAGTTACGACGGAACCCTTCCATATCGCTGACATGCTCGACGATGGTATATGCTTCCATTCCTTTATAACTATAGACCGAAGCTATCCTTCGAGGCTCCGGCCCGACCCAGGACAACGCGGGATCATCGATCGTGTCGACCATATGGACACCTTTGTCGACCACGCTCGTCTCTTCGACATCCATATGCTTGGACGATTCGGGAGTATCGACCATCTCACCTATAAAGCAGAGGAAATTAGTGAATTCGACAGCAAAATCACATCCACCCCTCCATCGCAACACGAGTGAAGAGGAGATGGCTACGTCCAGGGTAGGTCGACGATGACTTGAGCAGCAAGGACATACACGACCCACTTTTAACGCGTAAAACTTATACAAATTTCGTAAGATCGCACGACGATGATAAAAACGAAGCGCATGTCTGATGGGTCGGGATAAGGATAAACATAGCGAGCAATGCCATGGATATTGTGAGGAACATATGACTTCACCGGACACTCATGAATTCACCGGGGAGAATATCAATCCCCCGTGCAGAATTCATGAATTTCGCGAGGAAGAGATGAATATTACGAGCTTATTCGCAAATGTTACGCGCAAATATATGAACGCCCCGAGCAACCCCCCTCCGTCACAAAATTCTATAAATAATCATGAATAAAAATAATCTAAAAAACGATTACTACGGAAAACACTTACTTGAACAGAGTAGATGGAAGAGTTCGCGGTGGACTTTGCGGCGATGACGGTTGGGAAAAGCAGCAGACGGCCTTGGAGACAGAGAGAATGGAGGGCGTGAAAAGGTGAATAGAAATATTGAAATGTGGGAAATGGGCCCTAAGGCGCTATATATAGAGCTGACGTGGAATGCGAAGCGTCACATCGAGCAGTCAACCGGTCGCCCTTATCCTCGACATCTACGCACTCAGGTAATAATGGCCCATACTCCCTAGGCCATCATTACAATCCCAAAGGTCATACCACGTGGCGATATCTTGCCAGCTTTTCTTTCCCCGCGAGTCAAGGAACAACTGGAACGTTCCCCATCAAGCCTATTCTGGCTTCTGCTCGAGTACTCACGCGTATCGACGAAGATTCTCATTGACACAATAAAAGATCCTGATCGAGTTATGCGCTCCTCGTGAAGGCAAAGGTGGACTTAAGTCATAACTCCTTCATCAGGAGCAACGACTTGGGGGGCTCCTATTTTGGACTGGGCCTTCTCTTGGCCCAAGTCCATATAAGGCCCAAACCAGCTGCGCCATCTAAGCCCAGCTGACCAGGTCAGCCTTCGACGAAGTCGTGCAATAATCCATACTCTTCGAGAGGATGCTGCTTCGCCACATGGGGATAGACCCAGGAAGACGCGAGAAGGTGCATCACCGGGCAAGAGGACCTCGAGAGCATCCTCCTGGATTCTCCTCGAGCAAGATTGTTCCTCTTGCACGACCTCAGGCTGGCAAGGAACCTTCCCGACAGACAGAAGTACCCCACGAGCATCCTCTTCGTAGGGCTGACTATCAATGCGTCCGAACATCGCAGAGTTCACTTGACCCCGAAAAAATTGCATCCATATTCTCCTGGTCATACGGAAGAATCCATCCAGGTAGGGGACCACGTGTTGGTCCCCACTAACGTAGAACCTGGAAGTCTCCACTTTGGACCTGCTTGCCCAGCCCAATGAGGGGACCTTGGCCCAGCGCTGCGGGTTATAAATATCTTCTCACTCGAGAGGGTCAGGTATTGATCACTTCTTACTCACTCTTACTTGCTTGCATCATTTCGAATCTCACTTTAGAATCAGAGTGTCTTGCAGGTACCCCTCCACCTCAGTCTCAACTTCTACTCGACGTAAACTGTGACGATCCATTCTGATCAGGTACGATCAAATTTATTATTTAATAAATTTAAAAATCATTTTTTTAAAATATTAAAGAGTAGAAGGAGTGTTAACTTTATAGTAAGTTAGAAACTTCTCATAGTTTTTTAAATTTATTTTTAGGTAACTCATTTATTTTAATTAAAAATATATTAAAATTATTTTAAAAATTTTATCCTTAGTCACGGTAAAATTTGTACGGTTACATTTTACATTGTATAGATTTATAAATAAAAACACATATATTTTTTAATACAAACTATGTGTAAAAAAAATCTATTTTATTTTATTTAAGTACTCGATTTTAAATGCATTTTTTCAATATAAAATTACATGTAAGTTTATTTAATTTATTTTTCTCTCATTTCTCAATGAAGAACAATTAGTTGAAACCGTTTTTTACATTTTACCATAAATATATGAAAAAAACATTAAAAAAAATAATTTTTAATAAATATAAAATATTAATTTTTTATATAAATTATTACGGAAAAAATATATAAAAGAAGTTTTATTTTAAATAAAAAAGCTTAAGACAATCAAAAAATTATTTCAAAAGTTATAAAAGGAGTTTTATATAAAAATTTGATGTGTGGCTTTGTTAATAAAAATTTGAAATTTGTACAAAATTTTATAATTTAGTTTTTTTACAATTACTATCTAGGTTCAAAATTGATCTATTTAGCTCAAGTGCTTTGGTGCCAAACCAAATATTAATAAAAACTCAATCAATAAAAGGAACAATATGTAGATATTACCACTGTTCACCATCTTCATCCATGGATATGCTTAACTCCGTGTTGACTATGGAAGCTTGATTCTGTGGACTAGCTTGGCTCCTCTTCAGTCTTAAAATCTATAGAGAAAAAATCATTCGCACAAACCTTGATTGATGTGTGCGACATCTCTTTTAGAATCATGGAAGGTGTTCAGTTTATGATGAAAGTAGTAGTAGCTATCTCGTCTCTCCAGAATCTGAGTGGTATTTGGCATGAAACATTAAGGACCTTGTCATATTCAACAAATGCTGATGTTTTCTCTCTACCCTTGAAATTTGCTCAGGTTTATAAGGGCAAGCATATTGATGAATGATGCCTTGGTCTTAAAGAAATTAAGTCATGGTTAGTTCATTTGCATTGTCAGATCTCAAAGCTTTGATCACTTTACCAAATTGAGGTTTGACTAAGGTAAAAAACAGTTAAATCTTCATAGGAGCACCAAATTTATTGGTTAACAAATAAATTCAAGTGAATCAACTGAAATTATCAACAATTATTAAAGAGTAAACTTTACCACCATAAGTAGATTTTTCATAAGGACCCTATAAATCACAACCTATAAGATTAAAACATTGTGTAGAAAAATGATTATTGGATTTAAATGGCAGTCTTTTAGTTTGGCTAACAGACATATAGTACATTTTTTTTTGAATTGAAATCATAAGGTACACCAAGAGGAATCTTATGGCTAGCACCAAACATCAGGAAAACTACTTATTGGCTTAAAGAATCAAGGTATCATTAAGAACAATGTTACATGTGGATTTAACATGTATATTATTTCCATTAGGAAGAGTGACAAACTTGTTAAGTGGGGGTTGCGTGAGTAAAAAGAAGAGATATCACAACATATGTGAGAAGTGGCACCTGAATCTACTATCCATAGTTTACAATAATGTGATTTATGAGAGCTAATAGTGGAAAAGCTCATACCTATGATTGAATTCACGGATGAGTTTGCTTCAGAAGCTCCAACTTTGGTCATTTGTGCTTGTAAGAAGTTGATGATCTACTGGTAATTTTGTGAAGTCATTTGTGTCATATCAGAAATGGGTTAAGTGCCCGCAGTACCATTACTATTCACATTTTTAGCTTTGCAACTTTGAGGTTTCTTGTATCCTGAAGGATATCCATGAAGTTTGATACACTTTTCCTTAAGGTGGCCAATAACACCACAATGAGCAAAATTTGGCCTATCTTTCTTCAAGTTGGTGATGTGAGTTTGAACAACACAAGCAATAGGAGTTTCAGTAGGATTCAAGGTAGTTATGACATCTCTTTGTTTCTCATATTGAATAACCATATATAACACAACATTGATATATGGTAGGTGATCCACGAGGAGAATTTGGCCACGAATTTGATTGAAAGACTCATTGAGTCCCATTAAGAACGTGAGAATATGCTCATTTTAAAGGTGATCCACGATAGGTTACACTCCACCATAATTGCATGTTTGGACATGTCAATATTCTTCCACACTACTACATAATACAAATCTTACTAAGCGTATGCATTTTTGTCTCTCCAGATTTTAACATATTTCACCACGGTTCTATAACACAACAATAATGAATGACTTGGCCCACAAGTTATCACCATGGTCTTTGATTACAACTGTGGTGATATGTTTACTCGAGTTTATTATAACTTATGTGAAATTCTTGTTTCACCAACTGTCCACTAAACATATAACTTTTCAATGTGATTTAGAAACTTATAATATGAGATATTAAATTATATTAGAAGAACAAATTACACTAATCAATATTATACAAGATTTCTGCAACCCATAATCCACATTTTTCTCTTTAATGGTAAGATCTTATTTCAATACTTCTAATTCTTCAACTACCCCTTTCTTCACCTGTAATTTATTTTGCAAAATATTAGTTACTTTGCAAACAAAATTAGAGGTGAAGGAAGGGGTAGTTGAAGAACTCAAAGCATTGAAACAAGTTCTAACTGTTAATAAGCGGAATGTAGATAATGGATTGCAAAAAGCTTTTATAACAGTGATAAGTCTAAGAGGTTGAAGAATCTTCCTCCCAGCCGTGGTAAGATATGTATTCAACATGATAGGCTTAAATAGTCTATTTGGTTCCTGTAAGTTAGCGTGTTTTTAGTTTTTGTCCCTATATTTTTTTTGGATAAAGTATTTAAATATTGATTTTTATTTGGTTTTAGTCTCTATAAGTTAAAATCTGCAGGTTTCTTGCAAATTTTAACTCCAGGGACTAAAATCAAATGGATTTTAACATTCAGGGATTATTTCTAAAAAAGAGATACATGGACGAAAATCCTAAACACGTCAACTAACAGCGACCAAAAGACTATTTAAGCCTATAATTTAATATCTTAGATTATAATTTTCTAGTTCAATTCAAAAGGTTATATATTTGGTAAGAGGTTGAAAAAAATACTCAATCCACATATGATATAACAAAATTACATTCTATGAAATGTTGACTGAACTTAAGATATGTTTGGATTGATGAAATGAAATGAGATGAGATGGAATAGAATAAACTTAAGTTCAATTATTTATATTAATTAAAATCGATGAAATGGAGTGGAACCTGTTGGAATGCATTCCATTATATTCCATCACTTTTCATCCTTTTTTGATCCGCTGATTCATACGTAATGATAAAATTGCTCTTTTTTGTCATGAAATACCCAAACAATGGAATAGTATCTTTAATTTATTCTTCTGCGTTCCACTCCATTCCAATATGTTCCACTCCATTCTACTTCGTTTGTTTTATCGTATCCAAACATAGCGGTAATGAAGTTGCAATTTAGAAAGTATATCATTAAACAAACCTTAACAACAACATACATCAACCACATACAACAAGCAATATACAACATACAACATATAACTTTTATTACCAACCACATACAACTTTTATCAACAACAACTTACCTTCACAACAACATTCAACATATATTAACAAAATCAAAATCATCAATATTATACTCTTTTATTATCAACAACATACCTTAAAAAATATATAAATGCTATAAGGAACCAACATCCCGCACTTGGGAAGACCCGGATGTTGCTTTTTACAAGCAGTATCAATATAATGCTGACCTTGCACCAACTCGTGTGCAATTACAAAATATGACAATGGGCTCGAATGAAGAGTTTAAAGAATATGCCCAGAAGTGGAGAAATCTGGTCGGAAGAGTACATCCTCCTTTTTCTGATAGGGAGCTGGTTGATATGTTTATGGGCACTCTGATAGCGCCTTTCTTTAATCACCTTATCGAAGCTCCTCATCTGGTTTTACTGAGCTGATTCTAACTGGAGAACATGTCGAAAGTGGTATCAAGAGTGGAAAAATTCAAGTGGTTGCATCTTTGAGTGCTGTAAAGAAGACATTTAGCGGAAAGAAAGAAGTTAATGTTGTTTATGGCCAAAAGGGTCATGTTAGAAGTAACTGCAACCAGTCTGCAGGAGTGGTGCTAATCTCTAATCCTGTGCCTGTTCAACAACAACAACAACAGGGAAATCTGCGAAGGTCAAATGCACCAAGAAGACAATTCACTAAGATCATTATGCCATTTTCTCAAGCATTACAAAATCTTTTGAAGGAGGAGTTAATAATATTAAGGGATCCTCTCCAGAATCCCAACACCTCCTCTCTTTGCTATAATCCAAATGTGAAATGTGCTTACTATTACAATAGCTCAGGGCACGACACCAATAGTTGATGGGCTTTGAAGAATAAAATCCAGGACATGATTGAAAATAAAGAGATTGAGTTTGATCCACCCGAGACTCCCAATGTGATCACCGCACCTATGCCTAAGCACGACAAAGGCATTAATGCTATTGATGGAGTCAACGCGATAGAAGATGCTGATAGTGATTATGATCTAGACAACTGGATCTTTCCCACCATCGGCAACGGGCTCAGCAATTGGAAGACTGAAGACCGTATCTCAATCTCCTTTAGTCAGGAGTAATTGCTACTTTCTGTTTTTTTGCTTTCAAAGTTTTGGTTATGTAATCTTTAAACAATGACTTTAAGTCTTGTGCCTTACCCGGGGCATAACAGTCCATTTGTTAAGGGTTGTCATCTCATAAACATATCTTCATTTAATAAAGCATTGGGTGTTTTGCATTCAAATTTTGTGCTCTTTGTCTTTCTTTTTACTTTTATCACTTTCAAATAGCTATGTTTTCTTACACACACCCACACAATACATTGTAGATACACATCCACTTTGAATCCTGTTGATAACGATTCTGCTATTGCCACTTATGACTTTGAAAATCTGATCTACCAAGCCGAGGACGATGGTGAGAGAGATTTTGAAATACCTGGAGAACCTGCCAGACTGTTAGTGCAAGAGGAAAAGGCTATTCCACCACATGAAGAGCCAGTTGAAGTTGTAAACTTGGGTACTAAAGCAGACAGAAAAGAAGTTAAGATAGGCGCCAACCTAGAAGGCAATGTTAAGAACAGGTTAATTTAGATGTTACATGACTATGTTGAGATCTTTGTTTGGTCATACGAAAACATGCCAGAGCTTGATACCGATATTGTAATTCACCATCTACCAATGAAAGAGGGTTGTTCTCCAGTAAAGCAGAAGGTTCGTTGCATGCGTTCCGAAATGTCAGAGAAGATCAAGGTTGAGGTTATGAAATAATTAGGTGTAGGGTTCTTTGTTGTTACATCATATCCTCAATGGGTTGTAAATGTGGTACCGGTACCAAAGAAAGACGGTAAGGTACGTATATGTGTAGACTATAGGAATTTGAACAGGGCGAGCCCCAAGGATGACTTTCCGCTTTGACATATTAATGTTCTGGTCAACAACACCGCTCAACATAATGTATTTTTCTTCATGAATGGTTTCTCAGGGTACAATTAGATCAAGATGGTGCCCGAAGAAATGAAGAAGAAAACTTTTGTCACACAGTGGGGCACTTTCTGCTACAAGGTTATGCCTTTTGGGTTAAAGAATACCGGCACCATATATCAGTGTGCCATGGTAGCTTTATTCCATGATATGATCCATCACGAAATAGAGGTCGACGTTGACGACATGATAGCCAGATCTCAGAATGAAGAAGCACATCTTGACCATTTACACAAGTTGTTTGAAAGGTTGAAGAAGTACAAGCTGAGATTGAATCCGAACAAGTGCACCTTTGAGGTGAGGTCCGGTAAGCTACTAGGTTTTATTGTCAGTGGTAAAGGTATTGAAGTTGATCCCGCCAAGGTCAAAGCCATTCAAGAAATTCTAGCTCCCCGTACTGAGATAGAAGTCAGAGGTTTCTTGGGACGACTGAATTACATTGCTCGATTCATTTCTCATTTGAATGCTACTTGTAAGCCAATCTTCAAGCTGCTGAATAAAGATCATGTAGTAAAGTGGAATGACGACTATCAGATAGCCTTTGACAAGATCAAGGAGTACCTATAAGAACCTCCAATTCGGATGCCACCAGTTGAAGGAAGACCTCTGATTATGTACCTAACAATGTTATAGAACTCAATGGGGGGGGGGGTGTACTGGGCCCGCATGACGAGTCTGGTCGAAAAGAGCATGCAATATACTACCTTAGCAAAAAGTTTACCGACTGTGAAACAAGATACTCACGCTCGAGAAAACTTGTTGCACTTTAGCATGGGCTGCTCGCCGACTAAGACAGTATATGTTGACCCATACTACTTTGTTGATCTCTAAAATGGATCCCATCAAATACATATTCGAGAAGCCAACTCTCTCCGGAAGGATAGCCCGATGGAAAATGGTCTTGACAAAATACGACATTCAGTACACCACTCAGAAAGCAATCAATGGAAGTGTACTGGCAGATCATTTGGCTTATCAAGTCAGAGACGACTATCAATATATGAATTTTGAGTTCTCGGACGAGAACATTATGCTAGTCACAGATTGTGAAGAACTTGGACCGTATGAAGGACCTGAGCCAGGATCCCGATGGACTATAGTTTTTGACAGAGCTTCTAACGCACTTGGCAACAGAATTGATGCAGTAATTATCTCTCCCAAGGGTTGCCATATGCCCTTTACTTCCAGACTTTACTTTGACTGTACCAATAACATGGCCGAATATGAAGCGTGCATCATGGGTATCAAAGCTTCTATTGAACTAAGAATCAAGTTCTTGAATGTATGTGGGGACTCAGCCCTGGTGATCAGTCAAATCAAGGGAGAATGGGATACTAAGCACCTAAATATCATTCTTTATCGGGGGCATGTATTGACACTAGTTTCGTACTTCGAGGAGATTACCTTTGAGCATATTCCACGAGAAGAGAACCAGTTGGAAGATGCATTGGCTACCATGTCGTCTGTGTTCAAAGTCAGATGGGACATTGAGGCTCCTCTAATTAA